TCTGAGACCCAACTGGAGGAGACCAACCATGCTCTCATCGTATTACTTATAATCAGCTTCTTCTTCCAGTAGACGGAATACATCAGGGGAGAACACATCTCCTAGAGCGCCATCACCTAGTACCTGATAATCATCCCCACGATGAGTCTGTCATTCTCCTATTGCCACTCATACCCCTGTTCTATAATGTATTTCATCGAACTTGGAAGTAGAGCCAAATCCCCAGTGGAGTAGAGGCTCAGATAGTCTAACCGTTGCAGAGTCTAACCCAGCAGACCAATGCAGTAATTCGCCAGTCATAATGTTCTGTTGTTTGAGACTATCACTAAGCTGCCCCTTAGCATCCCCAGCACCTCCAGTACCCATCACGATGTTGGTTAGAATATCATCATTTGACATTGAATCAGCTAAGGCCGATACCTAAGACACCAATCCTGTTTCATGTGCTTGCTGCTCGTAGGAGGTCCCTGTTACAAAGATCCTGGTCATAAGATACTCTGATTTGGCCGCCTTCCTCCTGGACGTGTGATACTCCAGTATACTATCGTATATAGGCTGACATCATCTCTATCGTATTACTACGAATATGACTGCTACCTTGACAACACTAGGCTTTGCCAAGGAATCGCCTCTCAAGAGTAGGAAGTCTTGCTGAGCCAGTGGACACTGAGTTACTCCAGACCCAAATGCCCGGAGTATTTCGCAAATCGAGGAGCCTAATTAGAGTACCTCTCATCCTGGGCCACCCTACCATCATGTCCTTTACATGTATCCGGCACTCCGAGGACCGTCATCCTCTTGCTACGCGTTAGGTGCCCTTCTACCGTTGCTGTGTTGCATTGGCGGCATAAGACGTACACACTTCCCAAATGGAGAGTGTCCAAGGCTAAGTCGACAGTATGTTGAAGTAAAGTAGTGCCACCAGGCAACGGTAGGAGTCCTGAGTATACTACTACCGTTGATCAATGCTGCTCACGTGTATGGCTATTACCTGTGATCCGATCAGCCTCACATCCTCCACCGAATAGGGTTTCAGTTTGGCATCCCTCATCGAAGTTCTCAGCCAATACGATACATGCATTAACTCTGTATTGGGAGGATGTAGGATCATCCTCGGTACAGGCCCCACCAGCCTTATGCTTATTACCAGCACCTCCTTTAGAGGAGCCTCCTCTCTTGCCACCCATTAAAACAAGGCCGTAACTACAATCAAGTGCCACCTGGGATAACATTCCCCCGCCACTAAGAACTTTGGATCGGTCAGAAGTTCCTTGAGAAATGGGGGATCAGCCTGTGTTACCCTCACAAGTTCCAACACGTGTCTCCACGCGTGTGGGTGTGGAAAATTGAACAGTTTCACGTCACTACTACGCCTTGGTTAAGGTGTAAATGATCGATAGAACCGGCGTCGCTGGGTAGTGTGTAGAAGTCTTACCAGCTGGTGTAATCTGGATGTCGGAGACACGCTTCGCGTCATGAGAGGCGGATCGATTAACAAAAAAATTTGATAAAATTTGTTGCTCTGATAGAGTGGTTTGCCACAGTTTGTGATTCTTAAGTACCCTTTGTTGTGCGTAGTCGTGTGCGCACAGTATCTTGCGCAGTACTGATCGATTATCCATAGCTGTTCGGTATTGCACGCACGCACAGGTGGTACATATGTTATACCCCACTCTAAGTGGACTAGCGTTGCTAGTGAGCTTGACGGTACACACATTGCTACATCTGGTGCCCAGACCCAGGACCAACATGCCGTTCAAGCTCGAATCTGTATTGGAACCCTATTCTGGTGGTGAAAACGACTTCGCTCTTTGGCTGCAGGAGTTCGAGACGGTGGCCGAGGCTTCTAAGTGGACTATTAAGCAAAAGTCACAATATATCGTACTTTTTATGAAGGGCTCGGCCAAAGAGATCGCTAGGCAAGCCCTGGAGGAAGTTGAGGGCGATCCAGCTGGTGCCTATGCTCATGTGGTTAGGGCCCTGGATAGAGCGTACTCGCTCAAAACTCACGAGGCGTGGAAGCGTCTGACTCGCCGTGAGTGGCACAAGGAAGATAGTGTTGATGGTGTATTAGCTGAATTCCGCCGCTACCTTAGAGTGCTAGGGGTTACTACCACAGTGGCTGCTGAGAACATCCTTCGTGAAAGCCTGATTGCCACCCTGCCCGAGACGTGCAGAACGCCATCCGGGTGTTCGAGGAGATGGGCGCAGTTGCTTTGGCTGATGTTGTTGCTAAGCTCGAGCTCAGCTGA